GACGTCTTATGGTGAATTCTATTATTAGGTGATCACTGACCCCCAGATGGCTACCGATCTGGAGGTCCCCTACCATGTCATCCCCCGTTGCCAATACCAGATCCAGTATGGCATTCCCCCTAGTGGGACCGTGTACCTCCTGTGTCAGGTGGAGGTCCTGTACACAGGTTAGAAACCTGCGTGAACGGTGGGACTTTGCCGTCTGTGTCTCCCAGCAGATGTCTGGGTAGTTTAGGTCCCCCATGACTACCGCCTCTTTAGCTTTTATGGTCTCCGAGAGCTGCCTCAGGAGCCCCAAATCTATTTCTTCCCCTTGGTGTGGGGGTCTGTAGCAGACCCCTACCACCAAATCCCTTTCTCCTTGCCCCCCATGTAGCCTAACCCACAATCCTTCTACTTCCTCATCCTTCGAATCCGTCTTGATGAGGGTTGATGTATATTGCTCACTGACATAGAGCGCAACCCCTCCCCCTTTTTTCCCCACCCTGTCCTTTCTGTACAATCTGTACCCCTCAATATGTACCGCCCAGTCGTGGGACGAATCCCCCCAGGTTTCCGTTAGCCCTACTAAGTCATAATAAGTCTTCTTCAGTCTTTCTGCCCACATCATCTTTCCCAGGCCTCAAATAATTTTTGTTGTCTCCTCTGGATTTTTCCTAATTTGTTCACATCTTTCTTGATGTGAGGGGCCCAAAACTGGACACTGTACTCTGCGTGTGGCCTTGTCGGTGCCAAATAAAGCAGGAGAAATCACTTCCCTTGATTAGCAAGTGGCACTTCTATGAATACAGCCCAGTTTGCAATAGCTTTTGTTCCAAGAGCATGCTGTTAGCTCATAGTCAGCTTATGGTCTCCTGTGACCCCTCTGGTCCTCTCCTGAAGCCCAGGCAATTCTTCCCCAGTGCATGTGTGCATGCAATGTTTATGCCCTAAATGTAGGATGCTAGAAGCAGAGCTGCTCAGTGACTAGTAATGGGATTTAGTACCATTGGATGGTGTGGGATGGTGGTGGAGGAAAAGAAGAGCAATGCCCCCGGTTGGGTACCTGTGAGATTCTCCATTGTCTGTGGGAGAAGATAAACTACTACATGGTGGGAACAGGAGGGGAAGAGACAGGAAGAGATGACAGTCAGACTGATCACCATGTTTGGAGTCAGGAAGGAATTTTACCCCATGGTCAGACCGGTAAGGACTGGGAGGGATTTTGCCTTCCTTTGCAGCAGGTGGCCTGGCCCTTTATCTGGGATCTCCTGAGCATATATTAGCAACTTTTTACAGAAGCAGGGCACTGGCTGCCATGGTCCCCCTGCTTTACCTGGGGCAGGTTAGGGGGTGTCATGTCTTGTGCTGTGTCAGAGTTGATGGTAGTTTTACTGAGAGGTTAGATGATGGATTTGTATAGGATGGTTTGAATAGGGCTGATTCTGCCTCTGGCAGCGGGTTGCACCTATGGAGGTCCCTTCCAGTCCGACTTCTCTATGATTTTTATGATTGTTTTTTATATGCCCCAGTTAACGTGGCAGTGAGGAAGTGAGCTCTTGCCAAACACAAGAAGCTATCTACATAGAGTGACTTGCACAGCTGACCGAGATGACATTTGTGCTTATGTTTCTTGATTGCACCCACGGATTTGGAGTTGGATTTGATGGCCTGCAGGAAGTGAGTGCATGTGTCGAACCTGGGAGGGGGATTTTTCTGTATATTTTGGATGGAGCTTGCGATGAGATGACTCAGAAGGCTGTTGAGTATCTGCACTTCCTACCCCTCTTCAGCAAAAAAGAACTTCCTGCAATCCTGCTGCCCTAAGCACTTAGCTAATTTGGGACTGTGTTCAGTTGTTTCCTTTAGGAGGAAGAATTGATTATATGAGACAATGCTTTCTTTCACACGGTGTTGTTTAGCTCAAAACCAAGCCCTGCTCCCTCAAACACAGCAGAAATAATTGTCCCTTCTCACAGGTCCCAAGTTTGCCTCTCCAGCGAGTCCCAAGAGCTCCATCCCTCTGCTGACTCTTAGGGACATTCTCACAACTGTTTCTCGCATTCTCCCCTTACCCCGTACAGCTCAACAAAAAATCCTATAGCCCCTGGGTTTGCAACTGGTCCAGGGACTTAACTGCCCATTCTACTTAGAAGAGATGCTGCTGCAGCCAGAGATCAAGTTGTGAAGGATTGGGAAAAGCCCACCAAGTTTGGGAAATGCCCTCACGATTCAGGAAGAAGTGGTTTCAACAATGTCTTACGTATAACTGTCCCAACACACGACTCTCCTCTGAAATAGCAGCTTCATGGTGATGGGTTTCACTTCTCTGAGCATGACCACGATCAGCAACAACCAAGCTATGAGACTGCACTTCTCTCTCACTAGGAGCTGGTGGCCCTTGTTGGGGAGAGGTGCCCCTATTGCTCATGTCACTTTTACATTTGGCACCAGCAGAGGCCAAAGTCCAACAGGCCACGAGAGCGGGTAAGCCTCTCCCAGAACAGGTGTGGGAACTCCAATGGAGCATCGTGGCAAAGCCAGCACTGGCACTGCCGGTGCTATTATGCACCTAGTCAGTGGAAAGGTGACTTCCCAGCCACAGTCATATGATGTCCGGCCCTGCTTTCATTAAATCTCATCAGCCAAGTCTGTTGGGTTCTGGTTGGTGCTTAGAGGGGAGAGATGGGAGAGAGCCAGGGGCAGTGGAAACCATGGGGTGCTGGTCAGATCATGGCACATTCTTCTCTCAGTCGATCCTAACTCAGTTCCTCAGTGTGGTATGGGGCGCTGTGCTGCTGCAGGTACCATCCTTTCACTGTGTTAAATAAGAAAAACACTCGCCGCTGCACTGATGCAAATTAACTGAGGTTCTTAAAGGCCACGTGGCACCTTACGCAAGAGATGGGGAATTAGCACCGGTGTCCCGGCCAGTTCTAATTTAAGAAATTACCTTCTGCCCAATTAAATTCCCTTCTCAGCACCAGCTGGCAAAGGCGTTGCTCACTTCCTGCCCAGGGTGGTTACCTAACGGCAATGTGCTCTCTTAAACAGCTGTGGCGTTCCACCCCAGGGACAGCTGCTTTTCAGCTGTGGATGAAATGGCTCATGCATTAGGAAAGCACCTTGGGATCCGCCGAGATGAAAGGCACGGCACGAACATAAGTTATTCATGCAGACGGCCTGGAGGAGAGCCACTGCTCAATGCAGCTCCCACCAGAAGGGGGAGGGAAAAATAGATTCCAGTAGCAAACAATATTCAGTCTCTGTCCCTGTCACTCCCACGTGGTACTAGGACTCCCAGCCCCGCTGAAGGATTCAAACAGCTGAGGTAGCATCTGCAGTGTCTGCTGCTGATAAGAACAGCAGCCCCTTGCCCGTATGGATGCAAGGTCCTTGCAAGGCAGGTCATTCTCATACCAAAAAAGTTCCTTGGTGACTGCAAATGCATCATCTAACCTTGCCTCTGGCCCATGGCCAGGCAGATGACTGACCCCAAAAGAGCCGTGGGGAAGCTAAAGGAGATAAGTTCATTGGTGTGGTGCCAGCCTGACTTTTCAGCGGCAGCATGGTATGTATGGCCTGGTTGTCATTCTAGCCACAGCTGAGATAGAGATGCCACCTGCTGCCAGGTCTGAGAATGACTGGCAGGCCCAGCAGGATTGCCCTGTGAAATTATTATACTAGAGTCTGATAAAAGCCTGTCCCCAGTAAGACCTTGTGTGTGCTGCACTGAATACTCCTCCCTGGAGCCCTGCTGTAATGCCAACCACAGAGTTGCCCTCAGTGGTTTGTTATACCCCTGGACCCAGGCTCCATGACCTGCTCCTGTAACAGTCCAGGTGCCTCTTGCTCAGAGGCCAAATCTAAGGACCATCAGGAAAAGCAACACAAGTGACCCCAAGCATCACGGCAGCAGGGCCAAAGGGGAGCCAAGCTGGAGAGAGCTGTGTGCAGGTCACCACCATCCACTTGACTCACAGCCAAATGCCAACCGGAAGCGAGTGGGGCCTGTGGAGAACAGGAGCATCGAGCTGTCCAGGGTTAGCTGTGCTGTGTGAAGTATCCTGGGGGCTGTCAAAGGGCAACTCGTGTAGAGGACACCGCTGTCCTCTAGTCTGCACTCACCGCTGTTGTGTGCTTCTCTTTTCCAACTTGAAGCCTCGGGGCTGGGAGGATTGTTCACACACCAATTTTAGGTCTAAATTTTCATCTGGTCCACCAGTTTGCCCCATGCCCTGCTTCGTGTTTGACTCCATTTCCCAGTGTCTGGGCTAACAGACAAGCCTCAGCCCTGTACACTGAGACCTGGGTACTCCTTCCAGCTCTGCCACTGACTCACTGTGGGACCTTGGGCAAGTCTAGGGAATTCAAGGGGGTGTGCGTGTGCAAGGGGGGTGTGCATGTTGTTTTGTTGGGATAGGGATGACCCTGCCTCAGGCAGGGGGTTGGACTAGATGAGCTGTGGAGGTCCCTTCTAGCCCTACTGCTTTATGATTAATAAGGGCCCTGCCACACATTCACATTAAAGCTGGGTGGAAACCAGCTGGAGAGTTGTGACACATTTTCAAGCACTAGCATTGTAGCTGGCTGGTTCTTTTTAGAGCTAGATGAGCTTTTTCGTGGCATGATAATTACTCTGCATGTGACCGGCCACATGTGCAAGGTAATTCTCAGGAGCTAAAAACCTCCATCCAGCTATACAAAGAGCTGAGCGGCAGCAGAATTAGTGCTTGAAGCCTTGTAACAGCTTTATAGCTGGTTGCTATAGTATCCGGCTTTAATTTGAATATTACAGCATTAGCTGGTTCATGGTGCAATAAATTTGGACCAGCCACACATGCAAAGTAATGATCACTCCATAAAAAGTCCATCCTGCTCTAAAAAGTGCCAGCTGGCTATGGAGTTAGTGCTTGTAGATGTGTAACAGCTTTATAGCTGGTTGCTATCCAGCTCTAATTTGAACATGGGGCAGAGCCCCTACATTACAACATTAGCTGGTTCATGGTGCAATCATTTTGGACCAGCCGTACATGCAAAATAACCAGCTCTCCATAAAAAGTCCATCCCGCTCTAAAAAAAGCTAGCTGGCTACAGTGTTAGTGCTTGAAGACGTGTAACAGCTTTATAGCTGGTTGCTATCCCGTTGTATTTTGAACATCCCCCCACAGACCACCACCACCAATCATCCTCCGCTGCCAGCGGCTGCAAACTGGGCCAGGGCCCTGCCTATTGCGAGTAGCTGGTTCATCACGCAATACATTTAGCCTGGCCACACGTGCAAAGTAATTATCACGCAATTAAGAGGTCCATGCCTAACTGTCATGCAATTCGCTGGTCCGCCCCCACACTGCAAGGTCATTATCAGGCCATACACAACGATCAAAGGACCCGAGGGGCTCCAGGGCCAGGGCTTGGCGGTGTGTGACAAGGCTACGGCCGGTTTGCAGGCGCTGCAATGCGCACGCGGGGGGCGAGACTTGGTGCTCGGCGCTGCGCTGCGGGCTGAAGGCGCGGCCGGGCCTCCGCTTGCCCGTCTGCGGAATGGGCGGGCGCTCCGCGCCGAGG